TCCCGGGGAACGTTGAACCGCCCCCTCACCTTTTTGCATCTTTATTCTCTTCTGTTATTTCAACCGTGTTCCGTCATTTTGCTTTTTTATTTCCTTTTCTTTTTTCTTTTTTCTTTTTTTTTTTTCAACAAATTCGCGCCGACTTTCCCTCTTTACGATTGTCGTTTATCACGGAGGATGATAGTCAATTTTTTTCTTTAGATTAAAATTATTCCAAAATTTGTCGATAAAACAGTGATAATATTTCACTCGACGATCATCGCTGCTTTGAAAGTATATCGTGTCTTTGATGCGTTGTAGCGTGTCCCTGAACAGGATTGAAAAGGGGAATTAAATTCTTTCAATTTTCAAGGAATATTCGAGGTTACTAACGTTTTTACGTAATAATTCGTATCTCGAATTAAATTGTTAAGAGGTAATGAACGTATACAGGGTTAAATACTTTAAAAATTCACGTGCGTGGTATTCATTGTTCGACGACACGTGGCTCGGTTACCCTTCCAAATGTGTATAAAGTTACGAGGGCAAGGTGTATCTCTAATTACTCGAAGCGTTTGTTCTGTCAACTGTTACAAGATGGAGGCAAAATTATTTTAATCCATTCGTAGATATCGATAGAACGAAACTGGGTGTTACGACATCCGAGAATAGACAATAGATTACGTGTTTTTTTTTTTTTAAATCTCGTTACACGAATCACGAAATGACGATTAAAAAAAAAAAAAATTCCTCCCCCGGATCGAGGAGAATTTAAAACAAGTATATATATATATATATATTATATGTATATTGGCGACTGGGCATAAATATGACCCATATTTTCTGCTTTTTACGGAAAATCGTAGCCCGATGGCTTTTTAACGATTTGTTATATAAACATCGTTATATAACGTTTCCTCGATTTTATTTCCACCGATTTTATATTCGCGAAACAATAACGCAACGGGAATTATTTTTCGCGCGACAATTAACCGTGCGCGGCTCTGCCTCGTCCCCGAATCGCCGTGTAACGAAAGGGGCGAGAAAAAGAGGGAGGGGAGAAAAAAAATGAAATGAAAAAAAAAAAAAAAA